GAAGCAAAGAATAGGACATGCATATAGTTATAATCCCAGTCCCTAGCTTGCTACACCTCGAGACTTCATCCAGTAACAGTATCTTTGTATTCAGCAGATCAATTCTACTTTCTTGAGTTTGCCCAGTCTTTTTTCAGGCCCATGAAAGATTTTGGCATTCATAACTCCTGGGTGAAAAGAAGCAAGAGGTGTTCTCATTAGAGGTAACATTTCTCAGCTCTACATATAAGTTGGATGTATATAAAAGTATGTTTCCTCTAATACTGAACGACTCAATCACCACTCTCATCTGCAAATAAGGAACAAGGGTCTAACAGCCTCTGGCCAGGCAGAATAGTTGCAAGAAGCTTGCTTATCCCAAAGAATAATTCTACTCCTCTATTACAAAGGTCATACTACATGTCCTTGCTCCATGACAGCTTCACAATTCACAAAGCAGAGTGTTACTAGAAAGAGGCATATATTAAGATCAGTGTCATTAAGAAGCAAGCTTGAAGTCTAAAAAATGTCTTGTTTAAAGGTCCACATTCAAGCTTGAACATGATATTCCATTCTATTTGTTAACTGCGAGGTTCAGACATTTTTTCTTTGATTATTAGCGTGACCTCTCTCTGCCAAAGGCATCCTTACATGATCTAAGTCAAAAAACTTCCTTAGATCATGTAGATCACCCATCAGTTAAACCAGTTTATGTCATTTCATACATATTCTTCCCCACCGTCATTTATGAAATGGACTGTTGTATTTTAAAGCAGTGTACACACCCTCTTGGGAATATGCTGTAAATCCATAAATATTATTTAATTACCCATCTAGTTCAGAAACAAACTTGCTTATACATCTCTCCCTCTATAGGTCAGATCCAAAAGAAGAAGTTAGAAACAGTTCAGATTACAAAATGTCAGTTTCCCATGGGACCCGAGTTTCTATGCCAGTAAAACCCCCATAGCACTTCTACATTTCGGCTGCTTGTTGCACAGCTTTTTCAAACTAGCACATCTTCAAAACAACCAGGAACTTTTCACAGACATTTCTTCAGCGTTCACAATTTAGGCATCCCACACAAATTTTAACTGCGCAGTCCAGAACTGTAGGTATCTTTTAAGCATTCTTAATGCTCTCAAAACTGGGGATATGTTGGTGCTGCCAGATGTTGCCTTGATGGCATGCTGAAATTATTTACCTGGCACGCAGAACAACTGGAGCTCAAGCCATCCCACTAAAAACCTTCAAGAGGCAATAAAACCACCTAAATAGAGCTCAATTGTTAAGGCACAAGAAGGGACTTCATTTCTAGGCACTATCACAGGACAGAACGACACACACATATCTGACTTGGACAGAAAGAGGTGTCCTGTTCCAGTAAGCGGAAATGAGACTTTTCTTCTGATCTTTCTCACCAGCTAATTTAGCCCTCCCCTTTTTAAAAACAGAACAAACAAAAAACTTTCTGCGGACAGTATCATTCTTAGATGTCTACCTTCTCGTGCACTAAGAACCTCAAACCACCAATGCATAATTAGTAATTCTGTTCAGCAGCAGAATGCCTGGAAGTAAGCTAATTTGTGACTAACTGATCATTTATGCCCTGCAGTTCGAATACTTTTATTACTGCTTTCAAAATGAGGTGCTAGGTCTTCTAACAGGAACATCAGCAAAATGTCAGGAGTCTTATGGGAGTCCCATTAATATTTCTTCTGAACAGATGATTTAAATCATTATCTGGAAAATACAAGAAGTTTCACTTAGACTGATAGAAGATTGGACCAGCTAACAAATAGTTATCTCTTTGTTTCTAAAGTGTACATGGGCTAATTGTTCTAAGTCTTATCAGTACGGAAAAGTGTTTATCCACAAACAAAGTGCTGCATACTGCATAATCCAAAAGCATTTTACCGCACTAATAATTTTATTAAAAAGCATTCTGTTAAGCTTAACATTGTCTCACAAGCTGATCTCACAAAACTACAGTGGTTAACTATAAATTCAGGTACTTTTATTTAACCCAGTACACAGACTTCAGAGAAGCTTTCTAACATTTATAGCAGTTTTTCAGTGTTCAGCAGATGTTACTCTATTTGCTAAACAATATCAAACTGCAAAATTGCTCTTACTGTTGATAGATCAATAATGACATGGGATTAGTCATTATCTCCGTGGCAACAGAATTATAACTGTTAGAGGAATATTGCGCATGTTGCTGCTGCGACTCTTACAGGCATGCCTCGGCTTCCTCACACGGGTGCTCTCTCTGCAAGCCTGGTATGCCCAGAGTACCAACAACCAAGGGCATCTCTTGGACTACAGAGGATTAAACTACAACTGTTGTTATTTATTCTGGAAGGAGCATATCCTCATAAGGGTTTATTATACTTCTGTTTGTGTAATAATGTCCTTATTTCACTTATAATTTCTAATGAACCATCTCCTTGTAGAAATAGCTAGAATGAAATTCAGGAAGGCAAATACTACAAAGTTCCATTCATAGCCCAACATTTTTTTTAAAGAAGACATTTAGTTGCCTTTAAGAATAGAGAGATCTTTTTCTTTTTACTCAATTTTAATTTAATTCCCCTCTGATTCCTCAGGATCTTAAAGTGGCAGGAGTCTTTCTGATAGATTAAAAGGACAAACTAGATCACTTGGGCTATTACACTTAACACTTGTTAAGCCTCTGTATATCATACCAGCTCAACAAATAGAAAAAACATATTTTTGTTTTGCAGAATTTACTGAAGTTTTATCTAGCACGAACTGGATACTATTTATTTTTTTTTTTCATATTACACAACCTTGCACCATGTTAATCACAACATATAAACCACAGAAAGCAATAACTTTTCTGTGTCTTGATCAGCATGACTGTGCCTGGCTTCTGATATTCTACTGAAAACAAAACATACTGACACACAAAATGCACAATGTTCATCAACGGCACAATAAGTTAACTCTGCCTTTAGATTCATAATAGTATTTCTTCATAAATACATAAACTTTCAAATACTGCAGCAAGACTTTTTTATTCATAAGCTGTTCACACGGGATGACAAACTGCAAGTTTGCCACAATTCCCTTTGGAATGTGTTCTAATTGAATTTAAATAAAAGGCAACAGAAACGATGCCTGAAGGTGGTTTCATAGCAAATGAAAAACAAGTTGTTACTCAAGCATCAACTGGATTCCACAAAAATCAAGAACCAGCAAAGAGTCTTCTGAATGCTGAAGACAAGCTGGTCTTGTTTGTAAAACTCTCACATGAGCGGAACTGGGCAGAAAAAAATTATTTTCTTTACAAACGCAAGTAATACAAATGGCCATTAATACCAACAGTACAGATGCCAGAGTTGCAATGTAAATTAATACTCAGAAATACACTTTGATTCGTTATTTGTGAGAGACTGTGGTTTAGTACAGAGGAAAACTTTTCACCACTTTCTTCTACTTACAGGGTGGACCTGGATGCTGTAGGAAACCTCCACACTCTGCTCCAAGTTCTTGGAAAGAATCCGGCATCTGCCCAGGAGCTCTAATGAAGTTGGCTGCACACATGGCCGTTCCAGGACATGTTCCAAATTCAGCGCTCCTCTGGCTGATGCAGGGCAGTTCTGCGCCTCTTCCAGCACCAGCTGGACCCACCCTTCTGCACATGCTGCTAGCCAGCCCAATCTTGCCCCCATCTCTCCATCTTGCTGCCACCCCATCAGCTGTTCCAGCGACAGACCAAGCTGCACAAAGCTACCGGTTACTCAGGTCTCCTCTCCTAGTACTAAACCAAAACCCAAAAAGAACTGCTAGTTTCTCACCAATACAAACTGCCAGCTTCATCCCATTAAAAACCAACCAAAACCGAACACGTGCATGCAGGCAAACAGGCCACCAGACACAGCCCAAGCTACCAAGGAACCAGACCCATCCCGCACTTTGTCGGCTGCCCACACAAAGCCTCCGCTGCCTCCTCCGCCTGCCTACGGTGACAAAAGGTGCCGACTCGACGGCTCTGCTCGTTTGAGGACACGCTTCACCGCCCCGGAGCTTCCCTCAGCACAGGCAGCCGATACGCCAGCGCAGCCTGCCCCTTCGCAGCCCCGTTCTCCCCGGACTTCATTCCGCCGTTAACGCTGTTTTGACTCCCGGCTCGCCCCCAGCCCCAGCTCCGCCACAGCCCGCACCACCGGAGGGCCGGCGGGATAAAACCCAACCCCGCCCCTGGGGGCGAGCGGCGCCGGCACATCCCCCGCCTGCACCACAGACCTCCACCGCACCACCCTCACGGCTCCGCTCAGCCTGTGAAGCCCCCGGGCCCTGCCCGCACGCCAGGCCCGAAGGGAGTGGAGGAGCACGGCGGCGGCTCCGCTCCCTTCCCTTCCCTTCCCTGACGCTCGGCCTGCTCCCCAGACGCCCCGCGGAGCCGGCGGTGGGGACAGCGGGGACCGGTAGGCTCCATCCCCCACCACCCGTCAGGCAGGAGGCGGTTGAGGCACGCCGGGCCCCGCCGCCACGAGCGCGGCCGTTACCCGGAAGCGGAAGGAGCTACACGCCAATCACGCTCCTCCAGGGCATGCCGAGCAAACCACCGCGCCGGGGAAAGCTGACCAATCGCGTCCGCGGAGTGGGCGGGGATTAAGCAAAACAGGTTAGATTGACAGGTGCTTCCCCCAATGCAACTGCGGCGGCGCCGTTCCCTCTACAAATAGGAAAGCAAGATACCCTCAGGGTTGTTGGGTGGGACAAGGCTCATTGTATCTCCACGCTACTGGCTGTCGGTGCTGATTGGCGGGTGGCTATGCCTATGCGAAGGAGAAGCTCCCCCACGACCTTCCCCGCTCTCCGCCAATAGG